AGTGGCTTGACTCTGCAAGGGATGACCCAGGTGGTGCTGAGGCACTCTCTTTTTCCCTACTTAATGATTTGGAACAAATAATCAAACCCTCTACACGTGTTCCTGATCGACACGATCAACTTGCTAACATTCTTGATCTTTGTTTTACCTCTAACCCCTCACACTACTCGCATTCAATTTCTGCCCCCTTAGGGTCTTCTGATCACAACCTTATTTCTCTTAAATCAAACTGGGCACGACCACCTCCCCCACCCCCCTCTAAATGTCAGCTATGGCACTATCGGAGGGCAAGCTTGCAATCCTTGCGAGAATTCTTCACCAACTTTCCTTAGGATGAATGTTGCTTTTCCACTCGGGAAGCCTTGGTATTTGCTGACAGCATTGCTGGGGTTATACAGGGTGGTATGAGTGCTTTTATCCCATCTTCTACTAAAACTTTCACATCACAATCATGGTTTGATCGCTCCTGCTCTCTTGCTTGCAGGGTGAGAGATAGGGCATATCGAGCTATGAAACTATCTCTTCTCCTTATACTCACTTCTCTTTCATTACTTCTAGGAATCGTTGTAAGGCTATTCTTCGTAGGCCAAGCGAATTTTATAAAAAGAAAGACTGCTGTCCTGACTATTTCTTCCTCTGGTAAATCCTTCTGGTCCTTAACCCAAAACATCTGTAACAACTTCTGCACTCCTTCTTTTCCTCCTCTCTTCCGACCTGATAACTCTATAGCCAACTCTCCCCCTGACAAAGCCAATCTCTTTGGCTCCTTATTCTCCTCTAATTCCACTTTAGACATTTCCCACTCTATCCCTCCTACCCCTGCACCTCCTACTGAACCTAGGCACTTTCCTATAATCTCCACTTGCAGGGTTGCCGGTGTGTTATCCAGGTTGGATGTGAGTAAGGCGCATAGACCCGACGGAATACCCCCTCGTGTTCTGAGGGACCGTGCTGAAGCCCTGGCCCCTGTGCTTGCTCGCCTCTTTTGCCTGTGCCTCAAAACCCAAACTTTTCCTTCTTCTTGGAAGCATGCCTTGATTCAGCCCATTCCGAAGAAGGGTAACCATTCTAATCCCTCTAACTATTGCCCCATTGCCCCAACTTCATCCCTCTCTAAGATTTTCAAAACTATCTTGAACTCCCATTTTCTCCGTCACCTTGAATGCCTTTCTCTTTTGTCGGATCACCAGTATGGCTTTTGCCAGGTGAGATCTACTGGTGATCTGCTCTCCTATTGCACCCATCTTTGGTCATCCTCTCTTAGGGATTATGGAGAAACTTTCGTCGTGGCCCTCGACCTCTCCAAAGCATTTGACAGGGTATGGTTTAAGTCTCTGCTATCTAAACTTCCTTCTTTTGGTGTCTCTCCCCCACTTTGTTTTCTAATCTCTAGCTTCCTTGAGAACCGATCCATGGCAGTTGTTGTCGAGGGATCGAATTCTCGCTCTTTCTCTACCAATAGTGGTGTCCTACAGGGTTCTGTTCTTTCACCTACTTTCTTCCTTCTTTTTATCAATGATTTACTTCACACTACAACTAATTCTATCCATTCTTACGTTGATGAATCTACTCTTCACTCTTCTTCACATTTTCCCCTTCCTCCAACTCTCGAAATAGATCTGTTTCTAGAGTTGATATTACCTCTATCAATGCGGATCTGTGCAGCATCTCTGAATGAGGAGGTACAAACTTGGTTAAGTTCAATAGTAATAAAACTCAATATTTACGAATTACACTTTGTAAATTAGACGATCTTCCACCAATTATATTTCAGGACTCTATCATCCTGCCAAATTCTGAAATAAATATGTTAGGCCTCACCATACCCTCCAATATGTCCTGGAAATCACACATTCTTAATATAGCTAAAGCTGCCTCCCGAAAGATGGGAATGCTGTACAGATGCCGTAGCTAATTCACTCCTGAGCAGTTGCTCCAAGTATATAAGGGATTCATTCGTCCTAACTTGGAGTACTGCTCTGCTCTCGTATATGGGGTGGCTCTTCTTCTGTTCAACTATTAGATAGGGTGGAATCAAAGGCATTTCGTCTTATTAACTCTCCTCCTTTAGTTGACAATCTCTCTTCCCTTTCTCTTCGCCGCAATGTTGCTTCACACACACTCTTTTACAGGTACCTTAATGGGCAATGTTCGGTGGATTTGGCATCCTGTGTACCCCCGGCAAGGCCGTGGGCCCGTAGCACTTGTCTTGCCCGCGGTGCCAACCATTTCTCTGTGGATGTCGGTCACATGAGAATAACCCATTATAGTAGCTCCTTCTTTCCTCACACCGCCAAACTGTGGAATGCTCTGCCTTCTTCTGTGTTTTCATACTCATACAAACTGTCTCACTTTAAAAAGCTGGTTTTCCGGCATCTTCGTGGTGTAGATTAACACAGTACATGTATAACCTTTTTCTTGTCTATTTTCAATTTCTTTCTTCTCTATTTTCAATTTCTTTTTTGCCCCCAGGCCCCGTTGTGTGTCGTTTGACCCCATTTTTTTTAGTTGACCCTCGTCTTGGAGTCGGGACTCGCTAATGGCTGCTATGACAGGTAGTAAGTAGCTAACAAACAGGGAGGTACTACCGCCTGGGAAGATATTGAAAGCATAATGTGTTGTCTAATGGTAGACCCTGCTGCCATATGGCATCACAAAATTTGTAACCAAGTCCCAGATTGCTGATCTGACTTCTGCCTCATTTACACACAATTGCAGGGTCTGAATTGTTTCTCTTACTATTGATAACACAACTTACATAAAGTATATTGTTTCTCACTTTTTCATTTTTTCATTTTTGCATTTCTTTATGGTTCTTTATTATTATTATTATTATTATTATTATTATTATTATTATTATTATTATTACAGTGGTCCCTCGGTTAACGAGCACAATCCGTTCCAGCAGGTTGCTCGTTAACCGAAAAACTCGTTTACCGAAACCATTGTTTCAATGGGTTTTTGGGTAATTGGTTCCAGCTCACCGAAAATTGCCTAAATTCAACAAAAAAGGTAGAAAAGTACACTTACTTTCAGGTGTGTATGTAGAAGGCTCCTGGATGATGATGATGATGATGATGGGAATTAGAATGGGGATGGAGGAGAAGAAAGAAGAGAAGGCATTGGGGTGGAAGAGAAGTCACCCCATGGCGCCATTTCACCCATAAAATTTTAGTTCTCTTGGTGTATTTCAAGATTATTTTCTTTAAATCAACACTGCACTGCATTATATATTGTCAATATGTAAAATATATTTCAAAATGACCAATAATTTGCTTGGGAACACAGAAAAAAAGCGTTTAGTTGAAGAGAGTCTCAAGCAAGATGTTACCTCCAGTGAAAACAGAGAGAGACTAACGCCTGTCTGGTGTGTTAACAGGCTGGATGGCACGCCAGAAACTAGTTTCTTTACCTTCAATTATGTTCAATAATTGTTAAAATGACTAAAAAAGTTAATATTGAACTTTTAAAATTATTGAATAGTATAAACTTCTTGATATTTACTAAAATAATAAGGAATTTAAGCCCTAAAACCGATTACTGTATTGGCGGACTAATACTACAGCTGGTGGACCGCCAAATGCAAGCGAAAACATGTTGAAGTCGGCTCGTAAAAAACTTGTTAATCGAGGAATTGCTCGTTAACCGAAGTTGAGAATCTTATGGAAGGTAAATCGTTAACCGAAATCTCGTTAACCGAGGGACCACTGTATTATTATTATTATTATTATTATTATTATTATTATTATTATTATTATTATTATTATTATTATTATTATTATTATTATTATTATTATTATTATTGTTATTATTATTATTGTTATTGTTATTGTTATTGTTATTGTTAGTATTATTATTGTTAGTATTATTATTGTTAGTATTATCATTATTATTATTATTATCAATATTATTATCATCATTTCATTTTCCTTCCCAAGCCCCGATGTGGGTCAGTGACCTGTGCCCGGGTGGACTAATCCCTGTAAAAAAAAAAAAATGTCGATGTTTACAGTACCTAGCCAGCTCTTTTGCTATAAGGGCAGTTCTTCTTTCAGGACGCTCATTTGTGCCAGTATCCAGATGGGTGCTGACAGTGACCATAAGAGGTTGTATAGTTTGTTTGTGCTCTGATCTGTGATTACGATTGTTTTTGACCACATACGAATGACCTATTATAGCCCCGTCCCCATGTGGGGTGACCAGAGTGGCTCCATGAAAGGGCTCCTCAGTCGCACAGACAGGAGCGGAATGCATTGCTGTCTAGATCCCAGTGCATAAACGACCATCTTATCTGTGCCGCCAATGTGCTCTCCCTTTTCCTGATCCATTGGTGTAAGCTTTTGCAACGACTGGGGAGAGGGAGAGTTGCAATGGACAGCCGATAGCCCAATTTGTTGGCATTCACCTTTGTAGCCTGTCCATCTTACATTGCCTTTATCTGCCGGTGTAGTCGTTGGGTTCCCATGTTGGTCACTTCTTCCACCTATACCGCCATTGCGGTCTTACTCGAGCTCTGTAAGCATGTTCGCCTGTTGCGGGGCTCCACAGCAGATTTTTCGTTTGGGGTTTGCTCCCGTAGCCTTATACCTACCAAGGTTAATTCGCAAAGCAGCGAGGCAGTGGTTGGTAGGTGCCAAGATGTGTCCACATGCCAGTGAGCCTATGTGCAGTCTCTCTGGGGCCTACTGCTTCTCCAAGATTTCCTGCTGATCTAACCTGAGCCTATAAGGCACTTAATTACAGTATTGTGATAATTTATATCCAGTACCCACTTTTGTTATCTTAAAAGGCAGTTGTTAACTCCTTTAAAGTAGTATTTACAAAGAGTTTTCCTGTAGCATCTTTCACTTAGCTAATGCTCTATTTATATACAGTATTCTATAAATTGAATCATGCTTATCATTCATGTGAGTTATGCCCTTAAAAAATTAAATTAAAGTACTTTAATTAGAGTAGATGAACCAGTTAAATATTTTACACGCAAACTCTTACTTCTGCAGGTACTGTCTAATCCAGAATTTTTGGCTGAGGGGACTGCTATTGAAAACCTTCTCAATCCTGACCGTGTACTGATTGGTGGGGAAGAGTCAGCTGAAGGTGATGAAGCTGTTGCACAACTCACTTGGATCTACAACCATTGGGTCCCATCAGAAAGAATCATCACAACAAGTACCTGGTCGTCTGAACTTTCTAAGTTGGTAAGTGGGTAGATTATGTGCATTGTACAGTAACAAAGTGAATTGGAAAGCATTGTAAAGGGTATATGGTGTAGAAAGAGAGGTTCTCCATAGAAAATCTTGTATGTAGAAACTGTAAATTTGTGTATCGTATGCATTATGGAACAAATGACTTTTGGTGCATTGGTCAACACACTTGCCTCATTAGTAAGTGGCCCTGTGTAGGATGGAAGTATGGACAAGATTCTTAACACCATTTGCATCTGTTTCCCCAGCCTAGTTAGGAACCAGGATATTAATAGACTGGTGGATCAGTTGCCAAACTCAAGGTGTGGTTGTTACAACGGTAACAGCTTTTACATTTTAAACAAATTCATGGATAAGTGGCCCTAGGGCCAGCCATTTTCATGCAAGATGTTGAGCAATGCAGATGCAAGATGCAAGGTATTCAGAATAGGCAGGAAAATAGTGGGTAGAAACAAGGATGATGTTGGTGAGCAGTGAGTAAGTGACCTTAGTAACATAGTTGTTTATAATGAGGTAATCAGGGGTGCCTGGAGAAAATAATACAATTGATTACTGAATGAGTAGTATGAATGGGAGAGGGGCAGTCTTAGGGTAGTAGAACCAGTACAGTGGTCCCTCGGTTAACGAGCACAATCCGTTCCAGTAGGTTGCTCGTTAACCGAAAAACTCGTTAACCGAAACCATTGTTTCAATGAGTTTTTGGTTAATTGGTTCCACCTCACCGAAAATTGCCTAAATTTAACAAAAAGGTAGAAATGTACACTTACTTTGAGGTGTGTATGTAGAAGGCTCCTGGATGATGATGCTGATGTGAATTTGAAGTGGGAGGTGGAGGAGGAGAAGAGAAGAGAAGGAAGTGGAGGTGGAGGAGAAGCATTTTAGTGCTTCTTGGAAGGTGAGTCACCTTCCATGAAAATGTCAGGAACCTCTGGACTGACAGATTCTCCACCATGAACTCTCTCCTTCTTGAAGTGGAAGGCTGAGGGCTAGCATCTTGTTCCCTCTGCCTTTTACTGAAGAAAGTGTCAATTGTAGTCTGTGGGGCATCTCTCCTCTTCATCATTAACTTATGTTTAAAGGAGACCATTGTGTCCTCAACATGACACAAAGTTAGTTCAGATTTTTCCACATCTGGGTGCCTTGAAGCCAGTTTCCTGAACATCTCCCAGTAGTAAATAACATCTTTCAACTCTTAAGTTGACATATGGTCATCACTTTCCTTTTCCTCCTCACCATTGTCGGCCACTAACATCTCATCCAGTTGCTTCAAGTCTTCAGGAGTAAGTTCCTCCTCATGAGACGTCACAAGCTCTTCGACATCATCCTCCTCCATTTCAAGGCCCAATGACTGACCAATGGACACAATCTCCTAGTCCAACTCTGTTTCTTCCTCAAATCCCTCAAAATCATGGACTACTGATGGCCACAGTGCTTTCCATGAAGAATTGAGGGATCTAGTGGAGACTTCTTGCCATGATGACCCAATCAATTTTACAGCCTCCAGGATGTTGAATTGTGTCTTCCAGAACTATGCCAGTGTTAGTTCAGGATCAGTGGAAGTTGCCTGATGACACCTCCTAAACATTTTCTTCATGTACAACTTCTTGAAGTTGCTGATCACATTCTGGTCCATTGGCTGTACAGGTATGATTGATGTAGTGTTGGGAGGCAAAAACAACACTTTCACAAAGTCAAATTGATACTCCAAAGTTCTGGCAAGTTGAGGGTCATGCCCAGGGGCATTATCCATGAGAAGAAAAGCCTATAAAGGGAGTTTATTGGTGGTTAGGTAGCTCTTTACAGAAGGGCGAAACACCTCAACAGCCCATTCATTAAAGAGCTGTCTTGTCACCCATGCCTTACGGTTGGACTTCCAATAAACTCCAAGTTGTCCTCTTACCACCTTTTGTTGCTTGAACACCCTGGGGTTCTCAGAGTGGTAGACAAGCATGGGCTTCAGTCGGAAATCCCCTGAAGCATTGGCACCAAGCAATAGAATGAGACGGTCTTTCATGGGTTTATGCCCAGGTAAAGAGGCTTCATCTCTGGTGATGAATGTTCTTTTGGGCATCTTTTTCCAAAACAGCCCAGTTTCGTCCACTTGCTGTGGAAGATAATTTTCTTCTTCCACCAGTTCTTTAAACTCCACTAAAAACTTTGCTGCCCCTTCCTTATCAGCACTAGCAGCCTCACCATGCCTAATAACACTGAAAATGTCACTTCTTTTCTTAAATTTTTCGAACCAGCCTTTTGCTGGCCCTAAAATCTTCAAATTCTGTGCCTGAAGAACCAGGTTGATCTGTCTTTAAATGTTTGTATATCTCCCTGGCTTTTTCACAAATAAATTCAGTAGAAACTGAATCACCTTTCATCTGTTTTTCCCTTAATCCAGATGAGAAGTAACCTCTCAGTTTCTGCAATTAGGGATCTAGTTTTAAACACTGGTAGATTTGTCTCTCACTTTCACCTCTTTAAATTTGTCTTTCTGTGCAAGAATTGTCGACACAGTTGATGTCGACATGCTATATTCTTTGCATAGCGCATTTGTTCTAATGCCTTTTTCATTTTTTTTTTTATAATTTCCTGCTTGGTTTGGATTGAAATCGCTTTTCTTGATCTCTTTGGCCCCATGCTGGATTCAAACAATCTCAACACGTGATATTTTAAGTTTAAACTTGCTGTAAATAAAGAATATTTTCTTTAAAATAACACTGCACTGCACTATATATTGTCAATATGTAAAATAAATTTCAAAATGACCAATAATTTGCTTGGAAACAGAAAAAAGCATTTAGTTGAAGAGAGTCTCAAGCAAGATGTTACCTCCACTGAAAAGACAGAGACTAACGCTTGTTTGGTGTGTTGCCAGGCTGGATGGAGCGCATAAAACTAGTTTCATTACCTTCAATTATGTTCAATAATTGTTAAATTGACTAAATAATTTAATTAACTTTTAAAATTACTAAATAGTGTAAACATCTTGATATTTACTAAAATAGTAAGGAATTTAAGCCCTAGAACCGATTACTGTATTGGCGGACTATTACTACAGCTGGTTGACCGCCAAGTGCAAGCAAAAACATGTTCAGGTCAGCTCGTAAGAAACTCGTTAATCGAGGGATTGCTCGTTAACCGAAGTTAAGAATCTTATGGAAGGTAACTCGTTAACCAAAATCTCGTTAACCGAGGCGCTCGTTAACCGAGGGATCACTGTACAGAGAAAAAAGCAATCAACAAAATAACAAAATGAAGACTGTAAAGGAGGCTGGAAGCTGTGGGATAACTGCAGAAATGCTGAAAGCATAAGACGATGTAGGTTGGTCTGTGGTAACCGAATTGACTAATGTAATCATGATGTAATATACTATTCCAGACGACTTGAGTGTGATCATGAGTATTTACGAGGGTGAGGGTGATGCCTGATTTACTCTAGTAAGACTGGAGTGCATATACAAATATTTGATAAGTATTTTGGTGCATATATATGAGGAGCTTCCGACCATAACCTGCTGAGAGCCATATATCGCTGAATCATATTATGTATTGCATTGTATTCCCCAAACTTTCCTCTGTCCCCTGGGTAAGCCAGGGCCACATGAATCATGCACTAGAAATTAGGATGCAGGCCTTTATTTGATTGTCTTCGTAATCATATTTCAAGTTTAGTTGGTAGTTGTTTGTGGCACTGACCTTTTCCACACAGTCAAGGGTCGTTCTACAGTAGGTCTCAGTGTAAGTAACTCGGCCTATCCTTTGGGATAATATTATTTTAACCAGAGAGGTATATGAGGTGGGAAGATCTGCCTTTAGGGGGTTGTCTTGCATATTATCATAATCAATGTTTTACAGCCATTTCCACTGCATGTGTGAATTAGCTACAATTACTTGATGGCAACTTATGAACAGAACCAGAACAGGATAAGAAAAAAAAAAAAAAAAAAAAAAAAATATATATATATATATATATATATATATATATATATATATATATATATATATATATATATATATATATATATATATATATATATATATATATATATATATATATATATATATATATATATATATATATATATATATATATATACATATACAGTTAGTACCCCACTTAACGTCAATTGAACCCAGAGGGTCCGTTAAGTGAACAACAGAACATATGGGATTAATTCCAATAGAAACCGGCCCGACCCCCAAACTCCACTTTTTGAAGGCACATACCTATGTTGTAGTAAAAATAACATCTTAATTTTATGATGGTACATGCACACAATTAATACTTAAGAGAAATAGAGAAATACAGTCGCCAAGTTAATGTCCATTCAAATAATGGACTCAACTCCCTCCCCCTCTCACACTACACTGCCGGCTCTTCCCTCTCAGAGAAATTTTTGGGGGAAAACCACTAAATTTTAATAAATAATACCTCAAACTAAAGTTAGGATAATACAATTGACATTGCTGGATTCCTTGTAAGACCAGGAATATTTTGAATATAAATGTCATATATTTTGCACAAAAGATAACATAGTTACCTAGAGAAAATTTTTATCTAAAATTTGTATGTTTAATGCAAAATATATGATGTTTATATTCAAAATGATCACCAAATTATAAGAATTCCAGCAATGTAAATTATATTCTGACCGGGTAATTTGTATGAATTTTATGAGCTAAAACAAATATCTTCAGTTAATAAAAAAAATAATAATTCTTCACGGGGTAACAGATGGTCGGTCGGTCCCTCCCTCCCCCCCACCCCCCACCAACCGTCCCAAGGAGATGTGTGGGATAACCACTAAATTTTAATAAATAATACCTCAAACTAAAGTTAGGATAATATAATTGACATTGCTGGATTCCTTGTAAGACCAGGAATATTTTGAATATAAATGTCATATATTTTGCACAAAAGATAACATAGTTACTCTGAGAAAAATTTTATCTAAAATTTGTATGTTTAATGCAAAATATATGATGTTTATATTCAAAATGATCACCAAATTATAAGAATTCCAGCAATGTAAATTATATTCTGGCTGGGTAATTTGTATGAATTTTATGAGCTAAAACAGGCAGTCAGGCAGGGTGGAGGGTGGGGCAAATCTAAAAATAGCTCTCGAGCCGGACACTCACCGCGTATATGATGAAAAAATCCGTGTTAAGTGAAAGTTCAGCTCTGGCGAGGCACCGCGTATATGATAAAACGTGTTAAGTGAAACCGCGTTAGGCGGGGTAATACTGTACATACTAATTATGCATTTTCATCCTTTAACTGACGCGCGCATTTTCTATACCGAAACGTTTCCGTCCCGGGCGAGAGGGAGGGGCGTCTTGGGTCGCCTCGTGGGTACACTCACTCAGTGGAGCGCTTTGTTTGTGTTTGGCTTTCGTATCCTATACTGATCGCGCTGTGAACTTTCGTTATTACCGTATTTAATTGACTTTATAATGACTGGAAAGCGTAAAAGTGAGAGTGCCGGTGGTGCTCCAAGGAAAAGGAGACAGGCAATTACTTTTGAGATGAAACTGAAGATAATAACACAGTATGAGAATGGAAAAAAAGTAGCAACAATCTCACGCGACCTAGGTTTCTCACACTCGACTATATCCACTATTCTGAAGGACAAGGAACTTATTCGTGAAGTAGTGAAAGGAACAACACCTATAAAGGGAACTATAATATCAAAGAAAAGACAAGGTCCTATCCACGATATGGAAAAATTATTGGTGATATGGATAGAAGATCAGATACAGAAGCGTGTACCCTTAAGTGTTCTAACCATACAGGCTAAAGCAAGAAGCCTGTTCCAAAGCCTGAAGGAGCAGGCAGGAGATGAATGTGATCAAACCTTTACAGGAAGTCATGGGTGGTTTGATAGATTTAAAAAACGCTACAGTCTACACAATGTTAAGGCGAGTGGAGAGGCAGCTAGTGCCGATGTTGGTGCTGCCGAAGCTTTTAAGGAGGAGTTAGATGTGATTGTGGAAGGGAATTATTTGCCTGAGCAAATATTCAATGTGGATGAGACTGGATTATATCTTAAAGAATCCCACCAATATAAGTTATATTCACCCAGGTCATTTGGGTGGCAAATTATGAGAAGAGCTTAGTCACTCTTAAGTAATGATAAATAAACACGCAGGCAGGCCTTCAGCGCCAACTGTCAAATCTTATCTCAAATAAATAAATAAACAAACAAACGCCAGACATTCTGTCACCTCACCCCCGCCCCCTTCCCACCACCCTCGTGTTCAAGATAAAAGATTGGTGATTTCTTTATGTTTATTTTATATAATATCTCAGACTAAAGTTAGGATAATATAATTTGCATTGCTGAAATCCTTGCAAGACAGAGATTAATTTGAATAAAAGCGTCATATATTTTGCTCAAGATATAAAAAATGTAGTACATTAGTGTACAATACTGTAGTACATTTTATAAAAAAAAATTCTACTGTATTTTTGGGTAGATTTACATAAATTTCTTCATTTATTTTCATACATTTACATGCACACACCATACTAAAAGAAACGTAAAAGAAATACTGTAAATGACTTTAGTGCAAAGCTGGAGTGCACATGTACTAATTTGATTACGGTACTAAAATTGTTATGTCTAGTGCAAATTACATGTTTATATTCAAATAAATCAGTATCTTACAAGAATCCCAGCTATGTTAATTATATTCTCCTAGGTCATATCACTGGCATTTTAAAATGAGAGAAGCTTAGTAGGACTGTTAAATAAACACACAGAGACCTTCGCTCAAACTTATCACCTCAACCCTCCACCCCCCTCCCTCCCTCCCGTGGCCTTCCCCCCCCCCAGCCAGGCTTGTAGGCTTACGGTTTTTATCTTATATAATATCTCAGACTAAAGTTAGGAGATTATAATTTGCATTGCTGGAATCCTTGCAAGACAGCCAATAATTTGAATATAAACAACATACATTTTGCTCAAGAGATAAAATTGTTGTACATTAGTGTACAGTGCTGTAGTACATTTTATAAAAAAGTTTTTCAACTGTATTTTTGGGTAGATTTACATAGATTTTCTTCATTTATTTTCATCCATTTACATGCACACACCATACTAAAAGAAACGTAATAGAAATAAATGACCTTAGTGCAAAGCTGGAGTGCACATGTACTAATTTGTTTACGGTACTAAAATTGTTTTGTCTAGTGCAAATTATAGCATGTTTATATTCAAATTAATCAGTATGTTACAAGAATCCCAGCAATGTTGATTATATTCACCCAGGTCATTTCACTGGCTTTTTATAAGAGAGAAGCTTAGTCACTTAAGAACTGATAAATATACATGTGTTAGACCTGGGCCTGTGCCAACTGTCAAACGTACTACCTCCCCTCCCCCCACGCCCCCTCGCACTTTCTCTCTCCCCCATCTGCCCGGCGTTGCTGGAATCCTTGTAAAAGTGAATAATTTTAATATAAACGTCATTTATTTTGCACAAGAGATAAAAATTAATTGCCTGTATCACATTACAGTAGTGATTTTACAGTAAAAGTGTATATGTACGTATATAGTATTCCACATACACGTAAGTATAAATACAAAGTTTGTGATGGTCGGACAACGTCCATTTCGGTTAACGTCACGTTTTCAAGAACGTATCTAGGACGTTAACCGGCACATGACTGTATTATTAAGCTACTTGGAAAACTTTTCAAATTCAGATGTACTGTATGAATTTTTTTTTTTAAGTGTGTGTGTGTGAGGCAACAATGGTATCATTCTGTTTATGGTAATATACACTATTGCTTTAAGGTAATTTAGATAGTCTCTCCTCGACTTACGACGGGGTTCCGTCCTGATGACCAGGTCGTAAGTCAAAAAGGCGAAAATAATACATAGAAATTCTAAAATGGGCGTCTCTTTCTTCTCAGCATCACGAGAACTCTCACTTTTAAGCTTGCCAGCCTTTTTAAAGGGAATTACAAAAAAATTTTTTGTCAGTACACAGAGCGATCACTAACGTTGGGACTCGAAAATACGTAATGTGAAAAATATTTTGTGTGACCATGGCCGTTGTATGTCTGGGTTGTCGTAAGTCGAGGAGAGACTACTCAAATATCATCGCAAGATATGAATGCACTCATTTTAAAATATTTCTAGTAAATATTGGGGCGATTCAAAGCACCTCAGAGAATCTGCAAAAAAGCAAATTCCAGTGTATTGAAGTCGGGTGTATAGAGGTTCTACTATTATTTTAAGAAAACTTTGGCTACATGAGGTAAACACACTAGTTTTTTCCTAAATATCCCCTGCTGAAATGGGGGTGCGTCATATGTCGTAAAATACGGTAAGTGCCAACCATTAATATAAGGTTAGGTGACGTTACAATCCACAGATTTAATGAGTAAAATACACGTCTTCTTTTCTTTTCCTGATTCAATTATGAAATGAGATTTCCAAAAGTAATCCTTCCTTTTTATCCCCAGGCATCAAACGCTTTTCTTGCTCAACGTGTGTCAAGCATCAATGCCATCTCTGCTGTGTGTGAAGCCACTGGTGCAGATGTTTCTCAAGTGGCAACAGCTGTGGGCAGGGACTCACGGATTGGTTCAAAGTTCCTCCAAGCATCTGTTGGTTAGTTGATCAATTCTCAAAATTTTGGTGTTATATTTTCTACAATGCTTCAGTCCTTGAGGGAGCTTCACTTTAAGGGAGATGGCAGCAACAGAAGAGCCTTCAGTCTGTAGTGTCACTGCACATCTTTTTTCATTTGTATTCCTTTGATCCCCTCTCCTGTTCTCTCTTTAATCATGTATTGTTCCACCTTTCCCTTTCACAGTGTAGGCAATCACTCCCATACCTCATACACCTACTGCTACTTTACACTTATACATCCCATTTTACTGTCTTCTTCTCCTGCATCCTACCACTTGTCCAGATCATCTCCTTGTACCTCTCTTCACCCATTTCACCCCTTTACAATTTGTATCCTCTGCTATTCGAAACACACCATACACCTCCCTCATTCATATCCCTTTTTGTTCTGGTAACCTGAATTGTAGAGAAATCTGTTCTATTCCAAGTTCATATTTTACGGTCATTCATTAAGGTAGGAATTTTTAACTATTGTACTGTAAATCTGAGTTCTTTCTTTCCTCCCCAACTTTCCAGCTGACTAGTCACTCTCCCTCTCTATTCAAGTGGAATATAAATCAATTGTATAATAATAAATGAGTAACCTTGAGTTCACAGAGAATATAATTTAAAGATAGTGACCCCTTGAAGATCCAGACTAAAAGGGGGGACCCTCCTGTCTGAAAAAGCTGATTGTCCGAATCTTCCGGCGAATGTACTAAATGTATAAAAACGACAATGATATAAAAAGACACCAAAAATACAGTACATAATATCCTGGCCACTGGGGTTAGTTACATAGACTTTTTCCTGTGAAAAAACCATAATCGTGAGCAACGTAATACAGTACTCACTTTGTACTCGAATTTTATCTCTTGTGCAAACTATGTGATGTTTATATAGTAGACTTGCAACTTAAGCGTATTTTTCTTACGCGGTTTCAACTACAGATAGACCCTGACTTACGACGGGGTTAGGGACCCAAATCCAGGTCGTAAGTCCGACATGGTCGTAAATCCGACAGTCCGACATAGATAAATTTTTTTTTTTTTTAAATAAATAATCTACAATGAAATACAGTACAGTAAAAGTAATGAATAATGAGGAATGGATACAGTACAGTGAAAGTAATAAATAATAAGGAATGGTTACAGTGTGACTGAGCACTTACCTTTAATGTAGTCAGCTGAATGCACATGGGGCCCCCATAATTTTCTAATTATACATGGAGACTACATTAACTGGAAACGTTTCGGTATAGAAAATGCGTGTCATTTGGAAAAAAAAAAAATTTTTTTTTTTTTTTAATAAAAAATCTGCGGCGGTCGTAAGTCCCGACGGTCGTAAGTTGTAGCAGTCGTAAGTCGGGGTCTGTCTGTATATGTGAATTAAAATTGTTACAATTTTCAATTTCAAGCTCAAAACTTTCAAAATGGGTCGCAAGCCTGCCAAACGCACCACCCTGCCATCTCACCTGGTCACCTCTGTCTGTCTCAGTTGCCGCGGGTGTATCATCGGAATAACAGTTGCCTCTCGTGTGTGTCAATTTAGTGCGCTTAAACCTCTCTCATACTCGTTCATAATGCCCAAACACAAGCCAACCTCTGCCTCTGGCCCTCCAGCGAAGAAACAATGCTCTGTGATGACCCTGGAAGAAAAAGTGGCTGTGTTAGACTTAATAAAAGGCAGCATGTCAATTGCTGCTGTGACACTGAGGTACGGGCGGAACGAATCCAGCGTGAGAGCCATCAAGATTCGGGAGAGAGAAATTCGTGAAACCGTGTCTACAAGTGCCTCATTTACTGCTAAGGTGACTAGCCAGGTTAGAGACGTAACTCTAGTAAAGGTGGAGAAGGCATTAAACACCTTGGTGAAAGATATGAACCAAAAACGTGTCTCCATCGACGGCAACGTGCTCAGGGAGACGGCAATGAATAAATCCGAGGTTCCTAAGGGCGAAGCATCCACCAACTCTGAGAAGAATTTTAAAGCCAGTGCAGGTTGGCTCAACAGTTTCAGGAAGCGTTTTAACCTGAAAGATATAACTCACTGGCGAATTGACATTGGCGGACGAGGCAGTTGCACGGGTGTTCCCAGAAGAATTCAGGAAATTGATTTAGGAAAATGGATATCTTCCAGAGCAAGTCTTCGACGCTGACAAAACAGGTTTGTTTTGGAAGAAAACGCCAACCAGAACCTACATTTCCAAGTCTGAGAAGCAGGCCCCTGCGTTCAAGGCTGCAAAGGACTGCGTCACCATCCTGCTATGTGGTAACGCAGCAGGGTGGGCATATGATAAAGCCGGGCTTGATTTATAGGTCTGTCAACCTTCATGCTCTGAAGTGGAAAAAATAATCATTTCCTCCCTGTCTACTGGCAGTCAAACAAGAAAGTCTGGGTGACAGCAATGCTTTTCCTTGAGTGGTTCCACAAATGTTTTATCCCTGAGTTAAAGAGCTACCTAGAGAAGCTGGGCCTGCCTTTCAAGGTTTTGCTGGTCGTTAACAACGCACCAGGCCACCTGGATGCCATAAAATTCGCACACGATGATGTCAAGGTAGTATTCCTTCTACCCAACACCATCTCCAGCCTCTCAACCAGGGCATTATTCGGTGCTTTAAGGCAGTATACACATGCCTCACCTTCGTCCGCATTCTCAACGCCATGGAGGACGGCACTAACAAGAGTGTTTGGCATGCTGGAAGGATTTCATCATTGCCAATTGCATCAGTTTTGCGAAGGAGGCCATGGGTGCACTGAAACTAGAGATGGTTAATTTGTGTTGTCGGGCACTGTGGAGTGACTGTGTGCATGACTTCAAAGGATTCCCTACGGTCGACTCTGAAGTAAAGCACATCGTGAAGGTGGCCAGGGCTGTAGGAGGTGATGGGTTTGAAGACATGGTCAAGCAGGAAATCGAGGTGTTAATTGAGGGGCACAGGGAAACTCTGACTGATGCTGAGTTGGAGGAAATAGTGAGAGCGGACGAAGAAGGCGGCGACGCTGATGAAGAAGAACAAGAAGAGCCAGCATGTTGGGATATAAACAAGTTTAGTTTAGTGTTTCAGGTGGCTGAGCACTTGAAAAACTTAGTGTTTGAGTATGACCCCTCTATGGAGCGCAGCATCAACTTCTCATGAAGTTTTACAAGCCTTATGGCTCAGTATAAGAATATGTTCCAGCAGCTTAAGAAACAACAACGACAGCTTCCCATCACCATGTTCTTTAAGAAAACCTCAGCATCAAAATCGTCAGTAGATCAGCCAATGCCCTCAACTTCTCACAATGACCTTGAGCTGCACACATCCTCCCCTCCATTGTTATCTGAGCTTGACGGATCCCCCACTGTAAGTTGAGAATACTGTATAAACAAGTGTGTGTGTGTGTGTGTGTGTGTGTGTGTGTGCCTTTTTCTCACTTCCCTTATTGTCTCCCTCTTTACTTTGAGGGTTTTTATCCCTTGATCCACTTTACATATAAGTGGGAGAGGAGTAAAGATGGTAGATAGACAATGTTCTTTTTATTGGCTGTGTATACATTGTAGCCAACTATGTGATGTGACTCATATACTATCATATAAGAGTTACTGTTTTTTAGTTTACCTGTCTAAAGGCTAAGGTTTTAACCTCTTGTGTACGGGTTCTCCTGTCAACTGAATAAAATTGTCTGACGTTAGCCAAATGGAATGTCAAATCTGGCATCTGTAGTGAAAGGGTTAACCTGGATGTATTATGATCAATCATTTTGTGTCCATTGCATACTGTGAGTGTTACTTATGAACTTGGAGAATGTTATCATTTGAATTTAGTAATTTTTGTTTGATACATTTTAGTGCTTTATATGATTGGTTTAGAGTCCATAGCAACCAGGTGATGATACCTATTTTTTAATCTTTTTGAAGATTTTGTAAAACTGAATAAAATTGGAAGTGGGTCCCATAAGCATGATTGCCCATTAGTTGCAGTGTGGATACAACCCACTGCATACTAAGCCTTCAGTGTGCAGACATAGCTTGGCCAGCACTGCTCTTGACTGCTTTCACTTTTCCAGCTGTAAAGTTAGGTACGCATTTACAGCTGGGTGGAATGGGAGTGCCCCAGGGTCAAACCAGCGGCCCTTGGGACAGGAGATGAAAGCTGTATCCATTTGGCCTCTGCACTCCTTTTTAGCATCACCAGGTGATAATTAATTATCTGAATAATTTGTTCAGATTAAATTTATCTTTAGATTTAGTTTGTCATAGTTATATTTGATGGCCACAGACTCTCAAGATTGACAGATATATGAAGATTGACCATTATCTATTATTACAGTATTGCATGTGATGAGTAATTTTGCAACAAGTTCTGATATGTGTGAGTCTTCAAATGCAGCATGAACAGAGTGGCAATGTTACCCATGTACTTTATGGGTACTGTGTTTAACTATTGGGCTGTTGCTATAATTGAATCTCCTCCAAGACAGGTAATTTTGAACTATGAGTGAGACGCTTATGCCATAAACTATAATAAGCATAATGAGTAATGTCATATTTTTGATGTGCACTATACTTTTTCTGATCAATTGAGGGTCTTGTGACTTTTCAAGGCTTGATCAGTTAATTATGGGATTGGCAGCCTTCATAACATATGATCCTTTTATATTTATACATTCTTGGATAACATATCCACCCATGGGAAATTAAAACCCTGTTGTAATAATTAAGAGTCGGGCCCAGAAAGTCCTCACCTGAACTCATATTTACTTGTAAGGGCAAGATGCTTTTCCTTATGTGTGGGTAAGTGACTCATCTGTGTATACTTATCCACCTGGGCAACTGGCTTTATCCTCCCTCTTATGCTTGTCTACTTATTGGATAAATTACTTTACCTTGTGTGCTCAAACTGCTCATCCACCTGGGCCAGTGACTTTTTTGTACAGTACAGGGGGCCCCCAAATTCATGGGGGTTAGGTTCTCAAAATGGTCGCGAATCACCAAATCCGCGAATAATATTTGCAGA